TCTTGTCGGCTTAGGTTGCCAACTGTTGCCAATGTTTTTGCAGCAATATCAAAATTATAGCTCAATTTGTGGTCAAACAGTAAGTAAGACGTCTCGTAAGCAGTTGCAGTCGTTGCTGCTGTTACTGCAGCTGCTGCTGCTGCTGCTGCTGGTGATGATGTTTACTTCAGCAGTTGATTGCTTGTTTGTTTGATGTAATAAAAAAGTCAGTCAATTTGACTCAGTAGGCGAGAAAAATGCAAAGAACAAAGCAATCAGATAAGTTTTTAGTCTATTGACATGGATACATAAATTGTATGTCATTAAAAGATTGCAAACGAGAAACAGAGAGACAGAGATACGTGCTTTTATATTTATTAATATGGTTATTTATGCCATTTTTTTCTTGTATTTTTTCTTTATTCATTTAGTTATCTGTTCATTTCGCAGAAAGAAAAAAACGAAGAGAAATGTCGTTTCAAATTAGTTATGTTGCAAATGCTGAAATGGTTTCAGAGAATAAACTTATATTGCAAGCGGTTAAGTATTGTTGTTCAGTTGTTGGTTATATATGTTCGCAATTTCTGCTATTGATGCCCTGCAACTGATGCTGCCTATTCTGTTATAGTTGTTGTTCAAATTTTTTTTTATTTCTTTTCTACTTTTTTTTGGCATTTTTTTTTTTGCTGTTGCCGCTGAAAAGGGAAGAGAGGTTGTGGAAAAAAAAAAAAAGAAAAGAAAAGAAAAAAATTTTGCGACTGAACTAAAGGAAAAAAAAAAAATGTTTTTTTTTGTTGTTATGATTGTTAGTATGGAATAATTCTCAAGAGGGTGGTTTTTTGCGGAATACTTGTGAACTTAATATTTACCCTTGTTAGTTTAGTCGACGGATTCTGCTGTCGCTGTTGTCGTTGTTGATGTTGATGTTGATGTTGATGTCTTTGGTCGTGCTAATGGTTGCGGTGTTGTTGTTTTTAGTGGTGGTGGTGGTGGTGATGATGATGATGGTGGTGGTATAAATAATTCTGAAATATTTATGGAAGCATAAAAATAAATTGACAGAATACAACTGTGTATGACTTTGTCTTTTTTCCATTTTTTTTTTTCTAGTTAAAATTTACTTCCACTTTTTTTTTGTTTTGTTTGATCTCATAGAAATTGCATTAATCAATGTTACATGGATATTTTGAATCTTTTTTAGTGTTTGCTTCAGTTGATTCGTAATGGTTTATTCCGTATTTTACTTTTTTATTTTTTTTGCTTGGTTAATTATCATAGATTTTCAAAAAATATATAATTGGATTTAAAAGTTTCCAATCATTTTTGGTTGAAATTAATTGTGGCAATGAAGTTTGAAAAAAAAAGTAGTTGCAGTTTGGAAGGAAAATAGTTTTTTTTCTTGTTTTTTTGGATGGGCGTTTTTTTGTTCTCTCTATCGCATGATTTTATTTCAAACTTTTTGACGAATACAGTATACTGTTGTTGAGGATTTGATCCAACTTAGCATACTGATGTAAAGTATTTTTTTCTGAAGAGAAAATGCATGAAAGTTTTCAATTTTTCTGTTTACTGAAACAGAATAAGACTGAGGGGCGGTGGGCTGAGTAAAGAAAGATGGGAAAGTTTAGTTGATTAGCTGAACATGAGAATCGCTGTGACAGAGGACGCTGAAATGATACATATGGTTGAATTTATAATATGAATAACAACTGCACTGAAATTGGTACTTGTCGTTGAGTGGCAGCCAAAGAAGCATGATTATCATTTATGATCGCTTGGTGAGGTACTAGAATATTTCTTGAACCGATTTCAGTTGATTGCCATATTTTTGATATCGGCTAAATGATTAAAATAGATAAATTGGGCTTGTCAATTTTTGAAGTTCTAAATTTATTATGCAATAACATAAATTACTTTAGCCTACCGGTATGACGGGAACAGCAATAGGATAAGCATTAACAGCGCAGAAGTATTTTGAGATGAATTGACAAATGTGTATGAAAAGTTCTACGAATTAAATCTATTAAAATTTATTGGAGTTTAAAAAGGTATAATAAAAGAAAATAGGGGAGAATGGGTTTTTTATTGTTGAACAAAGGTTAATGTTTAAGCTGTTTTATTTAGTTCAATTTAAATATAAAGCAAAAGACTAGGAAGCAATTTGGAGAAGTTGAACAATGGCTTTGAAGTTTTAAAATGCTTTTTTAAAATGGCACAGATTTTTTCTTGGATTTTATGGAAAGGCGTAGTATGAAGCCATATGTTATTATTGTTCTTTTTTTTTCCACTTTTTATTCGAGCTTTTGTCGCTGCTGTTCTGCTTATATATGATGTTGATAATGCTGCAGCTTTTCATATTTGGTTTATTTTTAATGTCTCTGTTAATGACTTTTATGAAATATTCATTTTAAAAATAACTAATATTAAACAAACTTTTTCTTTTTTGATTGTTGCTCTGACAGCGTTTCTTATTTCTGACATTAACACTGTACTGATGAATATTGTTTGCAACTGCTGCTGAATAGTTTGATCGTTTGGTTGGTCGGTGGTGGTGGTGATGGTATTGTTAAAATTGTTGTATGTTCAAGAAAACGATGGTTTAATGACTGCTGAATAATTGACTGAATAGTGGACGGATACTGCAGTACAGAAAAAATCTTCGAAGAAGAACAGAAACAATAGTTTAAAAAGGAAAAAGAAAAAATTTTTTCGACCAACAATACCTATTTTTTTACTCTAACTTTAACGACGAAAAAAAAAATACCAAGATTTTCTTGATGCACTGATTGGTCTTGTTGTTAAATTGTTGCTGTATTCCTATCAGTAGTCGAGCACTTTCCTTCTGGAGTAATGTTGATCACTGAAAAAGGGTGATTTTTGATTTTGTTTTTTTTTCTGATTTTTTACTAACTAAATTGTTAATAACTAACTGTTATTGACATTGATAACATCACTTGTTCTCCTCTTTAGTTAGTTGCTTTGTTTTTTTTTCTCTTTTCTTGAACACATCTTTAAGTAACATGAAAATTATAATCTTAAAAAAACTTCTTATTAAATTATATTAGTAGTAGAAAAAGAACCAACAAAAAGCATTTAAGTAGAGAGTTAACCAGTTGGTCAATTAGTGGTTTATTCAGACGTCGTAAAAGGATGAAATTGGGAGCATCACAGTTGTTCGAGCTACAGCCAGATCCTTATGATGTATCACAAAAGCGATACTTTCGAGCGTGTATATTTCGTGACGTCAAAAATGCTCGAGAGCTACGCCAAGCTGTACGCGATGGAACTATTGATGCTGCATTAATTAAGCCTGAATTGGTGGGCTTTTTTTTTTCTTGCTTTGGTTTTGTTTGCTTTTGAATTTCTTGTTATATACGGTCTTTGGCCTATGGTTTTTTGATTTGCTTTTGCTTTTGTTTGCTGTTAGCAGTGGTAGTACTGACACATTGTGGAGAATACGATTCTCAGTTGGTTTTGATCCCTTTCTTTTCTTAAGCGCTGTTTAACAAAGGCAAAGAGATCTCAGTGACGGGGATATCCTGTTTTTTTTTCCCATTTTCCTTTCAAATTTCCATTGTAGCTGGGCGTCCGGCTGCAATAAGTAATTTATGAATCTTGCTGTAATGATTGATTTTATGTGAATTTTCAATTGCAGTTTTTTTTTTTTTTTTTTTTT